TTTTTCCGTTGTTTTCACTAATTTGCTTATCCATTTTGATTTAGTTTTTGTTAAATACAGTGTAGTGAAAAAGGTATTTACCCTTTTCTTGAATTCTTAGCTTTTTGTATTTTTGTTACACTTGAATGTTTCAGATCATAAAATAAATGTTAACATTAGACAAAGATAACCTGAGTAAATGAAAAATGCTATTTTTAAATTATGGTATATATGATGGTATGGGATCCAGTCAACCACAGAGAGAGCCACAAATGGAGAAAACTTGGAATAGTGGCGAACCTTCCCAGAAATTATTGAACCTACCAAAATTACTCCAAGAGTGCATCAACATCAAAATCTCATCCAGAGGTCATAAAATAACCCAGAGAAGCATCTAAAGAACTGCAGGTTAGGGTTAGGCTTCATTGGAAAGTTCCAAGTTTAAAAATCACTGCTGACCAAAAAGAACACAAAGGCTCAGATGGCCCGTCTTCTGTGGACTAGCTAGACAAAAGTTGAACTTGCGTCCCGTTACATCCATCGCAGCAGTCCATTTAAAGGACATCGTAGAACCAGTCAAACATGGTGGTGGTAGTGTAATAGTCTGGGGCTGCTTAAAGACGTGCACAACTTACAATTTACTGAACAATGAATTCTGCTCTCTAACAGAAAATCCTGAAAGAGAATATGCAGCCCTGAACCTCAAGCATGATTGGATTGTGCAGCAATCCAGAACAGACCAGCATGTACACCTCTGAATCGCTACAGAAAAAAATACAATAATAAATTACGGCACTGTTAAACTCACGGGAAATGCAAAGCATTTATAAACTGCCTTTCCTTATCACCTGTCCTGCCAGCAGTGCACACCGCAGTTTTATTATTTAACTTCAGTCTTCCATATATGTCGTATTGAATGTCTCTGTATATTCAGTTTAATATTTGATGTAAATCCAAAAGTTTATATTTATTTATGAGAAACAGTAAAGCCTGAATAACTTATTGTTGAAAATAAACCGCACACTGATGTGTTAATAATCCGAATTATTGAAGGGTTAATGGAGTTCAAGTTCTTTGTGTGAAGGCTGAGGAGAACTTTATAACATATTTGTATTTGTTTGTATGTGCTGTAAATATTTGTCACTTAGGCAAAAGTGTATTTTCTTATTAAACATCTTGTTGCTATTCATATGCATGTAAACAGCAGTTATTAGTGTAATAAAGGAACATAAAATATACAAGGTTGTAAACCTCTTTGCCAGTAATTCAGAATAGCTGTTTTCTTTGGTTGTTGTTATGAGCAAAATTAAAATCGAAAGGAAAATTGTAGGCCTAGATACAAACTCAGTAACCTAAGCATATAAGCATACCATTGTATTTAAATCAGTAGGAGCACAATATAGTTTTGTCTCAGCCTGCTGCACAGACACAAGGCATATGGAAAAACTCTGCTCTGTCCTGCACACAGATTTAATATCTCAATAAAAGGCATAAACTGTTTGCTTATTTTGGGAACATTTGGTGCACATGAAACAAAAGCACCTGAATTCTCAGTGTTTTGTTGGAGTCTGTCCTCGGGAGGGTGCTGTGGGAGAATCCAACAGGTTTACAGGTATGGACGCCTTCAAGTGCAGTCGGGAATATTGCTATTAGACATTTCTACCCAGTATGAAAAGACGAAGCTCTAAGCCTTGCGACTTGGTTGTATAAAAACTGCATACACATTTATCATTTACATGCTTTAAAATTGACGATTAAATGCTGAAGTCTTGGAGGAGGGGGGTTTAATTGAGTAATTAGCTGAAACTAAAGGTTGAGCTAAGGTTAAATGAAACTAGTTGCTATACTGCAAACTTTTGAAGGTTTTCTTCAAAAGTAAATCAAATGTTTAATTTATTAAGTAAGGGGTTGAAAAATAACTTCGAACTGTTCCTTTAACTCACAATGTCGCTTCAGAAGCCAGAGCGAGCAGAAGACGGGACGCTTGGTGAGGTAATCGTGTGACTGTCGGGATAGTTGCTGCCTGACTACTTTTGGTTTCGGATTTTTTTTCCCTTACAGGTTTAGGGTTTGGTCACAGCTTGTGGGTACAGGAGCAGCAGGAGGAGGGACACGGGTGCGTGACTAAGTTTATTCAGCCAGATCTCATTTATTTTTCTTTTCTTTGTGAGCGTGTTTCCCTGTTTGCTGAAACCATGGTGTGGTCCTTCTTCTTCTTCGGTTTATTAATCGCGTGTACAGGTGAGCTTGTTTTCTTTCTTTGTTACATAAAGCTACCATATTGTGTCTTTATGAATTGATCGCTGCAGCTTCGAGCTCATCTTCGGGAGAAAGCCTACGCCCATTGTTTGATACATATCAGCTCTGTTCGTGGACTGTATAAACATGTTGTCCTACTGTCCGTGACCGGGTTTGTATTTGTTTTCTTTCTTATAATCGTGAATTTCACTTTTAATCTCGGTGTTGTTAGATCTTCTCGACTAAACACAGCTTGTAAATCATTGACCCAAGTTTGTCTATTTTATCAGGTCAGTGTCTGAGCTGTTATTCCTGGAGATGTATGAAAGAGAAACTAAATGACCAAGAAGAAATATAGTAACATTTGTATCAACCACTGTAAACTAAACAACAAAAAAAAGTTAGAACCCCTCAAATCCAATCAAGTCCGACCCCCGTCACCACCAACAAAATGAAAAGAAAGTGCTACCAGAAACAAAAGTAGGGAGGGGGGTTACATTCAGTGAAGCAAAAATAGATATGAATAGAAATTGTACTCTATGTGTCTACATAAACTTGCATCTCCATATTTCATCATCTTGTGTGAACCCAGAAAAAAACAACAACTTTGAAACATGATTTATGGCACTACTAGACAGACCAGCTTTTCTCAGAGATCTGTTTCTTTACAGAAGGGGCAGATTTCTTGCTAATTTTATGAGGAGATTTCTTTAAGCTTCATAGGAATAAGGAGGAAAATTTGCAGTTTCCATAACAAAGCAATTAATTATTATCAGTCATCAACTTCTTTGCAAGAGAAATATGAGTAAGGCTGGTTAAATCTTAGTCTCTGATACTGATCCCAGACAATACTTTAAATTACTTGAATAAAGTTTCCAGTGGATATTTTGCTTCTGAAATGGATTCATTTATCGGCTGGAGGTATAATGATGTAAGATGAAGTAACTCTGCAACAAACTTGTGGTACCAGTTATGCTTTAGATACTGCCTGATCTCCTTTCTTGGGGGGATATGCCTTTTAGATTAGAAGTCCTTTTTTTTGCCTGTCCCATTTGGTTCTTTAGCCGTCAGAATTGTTGTTTGAAGACCAACAAGGATACCCAATGGATTTACTTTGCGAAATGGATCATCACGGCCTTGCCATATTGGTCCGTTTGATCAACCTTTGTTGTTATTATTTATTTTATTTTATTTTCAGTTGTTACAGATGGGACAGACATGACTGAGGGATAGGAAAGGGAGAAAGAAAGATGAAGGAAAAGAAAAACAGAAAGGAAGAGGGACAGTGAGAAAGGGCACTTAAAAAGAGAAAGAAGAGAAAACAAGCAAAAAAAACAGAGTAACATACTAAACACAAGACCATCACGTTAATCTAGCTAAGTGTAAACAGCAGTAAATACTAAATATTGAATGTTGTTGTGCAGCACGTAGGACCGACAGCGCACAATGTGATTGGAAATAGCAGCCAATAAAGGTGTAGTTTATGTCTATGAACAGTGGACACCCGTGTGCACACCTGTGTGGATCAGCGCGCTTGTATTCAAAAGATTTCCCCATGTAATGGTGTGCTAGAGGATGTAGAGAGCCATAGCCCCATCCCCCAGGGCATGAAGCAGGCATGGAGGAGAGATTAAAAGTCTTTAAATCAAAATATCAAATCTTTATGAAATTTAAAAAAGGTCCTCAATAAATTTTCATCTGGAGAGCTGAAGAGTATGAAATTGATAATTTTTTAATACAATAATCTTTCTGGCTATCCTGGAGTAGCTTGACTTTCAAATACTAATTGGGCGAGAGTTGTTTAGTGTTTGTGTTCAGATATTGAATGGCTCATCTTTTCAGCACGGAGTCTTAAGTCCTCTGAACCAGGTCAGAGTACTAACAGGACCGTAATGCTTAGTAGAACATCAAAGTAAATGTTGCCATAAACTTAAGTCTTCTTCTTCTCTAGGAAACCCTGCAAGTGCCTCCTGTCCATTACAAATGAGTCCCTCTAGAGTTGTGGTGAGATTTGAAGACACCTTATCAGCCAAGTGCACTTCACTATCTAACCAGACTGAAGGAATGGGCTGGGAGTCTCCATATGGAGGAGTGGACCTTACCCACAATGTCACTTTTCTTGACTTTAAAATTGACTCTGTGCCAGTGTGGGAGTTAGAGCCAATGTGTTATGTGAATTCCCGTGATGGTGATCAGTGTGTAAAACTGTTACCAGTCACTGTTTATAGTAAGTAGCCTTAACTTTCTCATATATTTCCAGAAAAGGTGTTTTAGTATTTGAACAGTGAATGACATTAATTCATTATATTTCTTCTACTTGCAGAAATGCCAGACAGTGTGTCATTGAGACAGAATTCAACTACAGTGAAAGAAAGTGAACAGTTTGCCATACAGTGTGACATTGTTAATGTTGCACCAGCAAGAAATCTCTCTGTGCTTTGGCACAAAGGAAATAAGATCTTAAATTCTGAGACATTTATTGAGTCCAGTCCATCTCCCGTGAGTAAGTCATCTGTCCTCACTCTGACTGCTCATAGAGATGATGATGGAGCTGAGATCTGGTGTGAAGCAAAACTAAACTTGTGGCCAGGAGAACAAGGTCCAGCCATGATGCACTCAATGTCGCATAGAGTGACTGTATTCTGTGAGTTTTTAACTTGATCTTGATCAAACATCAGAAGATTTTCCTTGTATTTTATTTTCTAATTTATTTCACATTTGTCTGTATTTTATTTGCATGTATGTTCTCAGACCCACCAACCTACACCAAGGCTGGAAATGAGACTCTGGAAATGACAGTTGGTGAAAATATGACTTTAAATTGTAACGCTAAAGGAAACCCTCCACCATCATACCACTGGGAATTCCCAAAATTCACAAAAGAATGGCATGACAACAAAGAAGTGATTGAGCCAATTCTAACCCTACCGTTTGAGCTTCCAGGGGTCTATACATGCACAGCCTATAGTAAACAGGGCAATGTGACCAAATATTTCAATATCAGCGAAGCTCCAAGTAAGTTCTCATCAGTTACTTCATGACATTTTGTATCTCGTTAAACATTCTTATTGTCTATAATATTTTATGGTGTGATTCTCCATTATGTAGTCGTCCTGGGACCATTGCTGGGATTTTAATCGCTTTGTTCTTTGTTTTCATTTTTATTTTGGGATGTGGGGTTTATTACAGACAGAGCAGAAAGTCTGAGCAGATAAGTTGAGAGCAACAATGTAACAACATTTCCCATCTCCCACAGGGTCTCGAACAACCTTTGGAGTCATAGTGGGAGTGGGTGTGGCTGTCGGAGTTTTGCTCCTCATTGCTGGTGCATATTTTGTGACACCTAATGGAACGTTCTCTTTCAACAAAGACGGCTATCAACCAGGAACTCCCTCAGGACCAGTATAAGGCAGACTTTTTTTTAAATTCAGATTTGCATGGCTATTATTTTAATTTTTGTTAACGATTTTATTTGGTGCTTGGACCCAAAAATTCTGTAACATGTCTTTTAATGGACAAAGGACATGTCTGCTCTGCATGCTCTGTGGGTGTTCTTCTGCTCAAAGCTGTAGCTTTAAAAATGCATTATCTTGTCAACTATCTCTAAAGCTCCACTAATCAAGATTGCTGCCCTAACAAACATATATAATACAGGAAATGCGTTTAAATGCACTGCAGTAACCTTTACAAGTCTGTGTATAAAAATGCAACAGATAAATAATTAGATTTCATCCCCACTACAGTCTTATTTTGGAAGCATGATGTGCTTGCTGGCCTTATTTGGAAATCTTTACTACACAAATGCTTCCTGTTTCAGTTTTAATCAGGCTAATTCGAACCTTCTTGCATATGGATGTGATGTTTTCCTCTCTCCTGCACATTTGCACAAGTCTGTAGCTGATGTCGAGATGGCTACTTGAGTGCACATAAACTCATTTAATGAATCAAGCTGATGTTGGACTCAGGGGAATTAACACCTAACAGGCGCTCTTTTTCTAGCTCATCATTTTGGTTTTATGGCTTTCACACATACTGTATGGTTTGTTCTGTGCTGATTATCAGCTTCGTGCTGCAGCAAAGCTCCGATGAAGCCACTATATCCTGTCCATGCAAAACTACAAATGAAGACAAAGGTCGTGAAGAAGAGCCTCACATGTGTCAGAGGAATTAAACAGAGCATATATTTTGGACACAATTGCTGTAATACGTTGATACAGCTATATATGGTCAGAGTGGATTTCTCAGCTTTTTGTGCGGTTGTGCTTTTGGGTTATGTTTCTCATCTAGTAATTGTGTTAAAAAATACTGTTTTTATTGTTCATATGACTTGATAATTGGGTACTATTTAACAGCAATTGTTGCCTCATCTGAATTGTGGACCTCTTGTGTGTCTTTAAAAAAATAACAATTCATCAAGAAGTACATTAAATATTTGCATAAAACTCATTTTTTAAGGAAAAATTAGCAATTCTATGTCAGCATTTTATATATTCATTTTGTTTCTACTCACCTAAACATGTAAATGCTTTGGAGGTACTTTTTATGGAATTACTTGAGAGCACAATGTAGTAATTACTTTTTTTAAGTATTCATTTTGGGATATGCATAAATTATTCATATTTCTTTCTCCTTTTTTGTAAAATTTGATTTCTGTATGCACTGGTACGTCTTTCGGATCGCTTCATAATTTTTGCACTGAATAGACTGAGAGTTTATCAAGTATTGCGCCAACTTTTCTCATGACACAACAGTTGTTTTACTGAGTCTGCATTTTACCAGAGTTTGTCTAATTGTACCAGTGACATGTTTTTAAGAAACTACATGTGTGTGATTGTAAATCCTGAATTAAACAATTCAGGAGACGAGGCAAAGTCAAACCAGTTTGATTTCTCACTCTCTGTCTTTGAGTCTGGCTACATTTTACAATGTTCACTCTGCCATACTAATTAGTTCTTAAAAAAGTGAATGTAAAGAAGATCATTTGTGATCCAGACTACTGTTGCCAATATAAACATATTTCTTATGAAACCATGTTTTTTTTCCTTCTCTGTCACTGTTCAAATACTGTTTCTGTATGCTCTGTGTTGCCCTAACAACCTGGCACAGCCACCAGTGCTCAATTAGTCATGGACTTAAAGGAAAAAAAAACAAGATTTTTCAAATGAGCAAACGTACAACATTAACGTGTTTCGATAGAGAACTTTTAGAGGGAAGAGCATATTCAAAGCTGCAAGTGAACTGAGCTCATACTGCAATGTGTAAGTTGAGATTCCCAGCTGTGATGTCCATAAATACACCATAAAGCGTTCGATTACTCGCTCCCTTGCACTGCAGTTGTGGTCAAAGCTGATAGGCTGCGTAGCATTCTGGTCACAGTTGGGAGTCTTACAAGCTACATCCTGCACAAGACCAGCACTGCTGCCTGCTGGGATTTCACAAAGCATGGAGGTCAGGAGCAATAGGAGGCAAGCATGCAAGACGAAGGGAAAACAAGCGTTTCTTCACAGAGAGTGACACTGAAAGGAAAGAGAAAATGTGGGTCAGGCTGATATGCTTTCACCTCTGTGTTCTAGGAGACTCACATGACTCAAAAATTAAGGAATGAAAGTTTGGTGTTTACATTTTATTCTACTCAGATTTCAAGCTGGATGTTGGAAAATGGGGGTAGGGGGTGGAGGAACTAGACAGATGTATTCACCCTATATTAGTGGCATTTTAGTTCTGCATATACTTCGATGTCTCTGCAGGCTTTTAATATCCTGCATACTTGCTTCTAAGATTACTGCAGTGCAGTAAGTGTTATGCTGTTTTTCAGAGGCCTGCAACCTGTTACATTTCCCTCTTTCCCTTTCACCCCCTCCATCGCCCCCCAAGTCAGCTGGGAGGGAACTTTTGTTCCAACATAATTCCCTGCAGGGTTGCCAAGGTCTTTCAAGTTGGAGTTCTCTTTCTCTAGCCTGTTAATCCACAGCTCGGTGCAGAAAATAACATGGGAAACAACTTTCTCACATGGATTCTTTTGCTTTGCACATTTTGTTCAGGTAAGATTTTGTCGCAGAGGTGTTTCTTTTCCCTTCTTTGGGTTGTAGATGATGTTTGGTCTTATGGAAATGCTATTAAGTAAACCCAGGTTGGAATGATCAGTAACTTCTGTGAAATAAATCTAAAGGCGAGCTCGAAGAATTAGAGCAGCCAGTTTTGTGCTGACAAAAATATTTGTCTTCATGCCAAGACTGTTATTTACTCAAGTGATGAAAGGCCCTAAAGAATAAGATGTGTGGTTGCATGCTGGATGCTTATTAGGTTGCAGCCAAGATATAATGTGGGTGAAGCCCAGTAAGTAGGTCAGTTTAATTCTGCTGTCATAGCACATGTGACTTATTAGTAGTATAGCTATAAATCCCCTATTAGCAATGCACACTTGTAAACTTTGAAAGTATTAGACAATTCCTGCTTGATTACTTGTGAGTGTGTTGTAACAGGGTTACATAATGTGCAAGTAGTTACAGCTTTTTCATGTAAATATGAATATGCATTGTGATGATGATGACAGAAAAACAGTGAGAGATATCACTGCTGTGTATCTTAGTGTCAGGTGAAGGCTGCTCCCTAATCCTCAAGCCGTCCAGGGTCGTGGTGGGCTTTGGGGAGTCAGTGTCTGTCAGCTGCGAGGCTGCGCGCCCTGTCCGTGTCCTGGGCTGGGAGTCAGCCATCAGTGCTTCACACACACAAGAGGACCGGTCTGTCCAGTGGAAGGTAGACAGTCTCATTGACTGGATAGAGGAGCCCATCTGTTATGGGGTGTTTTTCACAGCTCCGAAACAATGCGAGGAGAAGCTCAACCTCGTGCTCTACAGTGAGTTGTTTAAAAGCTGTTGTTAAGATTGATTTCTCAACCGAGCCCTTTTTTGATTGACCTGAACCCTGTGTGTTATTCATTTAGAAACTCCAGACAGTGTCTCCATCAGACAGGTGAACCACACCGGCCCCATGGTGGCAGGGAAAGAGTACCAGCTGCTCTGCGAAGTTCAGAATATTGCTCCCGTTCAGTATCTCAGCCTGAGGTGGTACAGAGGGCAGACTGAGGTTTATAACCACTCCTTCTCTGATCTCACCTCTTCCTCACCTGTCCAAGTATCCTCTATCCTTGTTATCACACCAACTAAAGCTGAGAATGGAGTGCAGTATAAGTGTGTTGCAGAGCTGGAGCTTGGGCCAGAGGGACCACAGCCACCTCCCACTGTTACCTCAGAACCTCTCAATGCTTCTGTTTATTGTGAGTCACTAAGCTCTTCTCATTCTTAAAGCAAGTTCCTGCATGCTCGATACAGTGAGAAATGATATGTGTAACTTTCTCTTTAGTTCCCCCGACATTCCTGAGTCCTGAACCAGAGATTTTGGATTCTATACTGGGGGGTGAGATCATATTAAACTGCACTGCAACAGGAAACCCCACCCCAATATACAGCTGGCAATCCTCCGTTCCCATGCAGGAGAGGGTGGAGAATGAAGCAACTGTTACCTCCTCCTCGCTGCTCCCAGGGACCTACACCTGCACTGCATCCAATACACTGGAAAAGAAAAGCAAGCAGTTCATTGTCAAGGCAAAGACCAAAGGTAGAAGAGAGAAATGAGGCACATGTGCAACCTGTCTGTGCACGCTGCAGCCTAACTTGTATCTTCTTTTGCTTTCACCTAGGCGTTTGAAACAACCACTGTGGAGAGGGGGTTGGACGACCACATCAGAAACACAGCGAGAAGTTTATCTTTTTTACAGTTTTTATTTCTGGTGTTTTTGTTTTTTTACTTTCACATTTGCTACTCTGGCGATGGAGGTGCATATTTATGAGACGATCTTCTTATCATCCAGAATTAGTTCACACAGAGAAACAGACCTGAATATGCTGTGCTTGGTAATTACCATTTAATTTGTCAGTGTTGTTTTAGGATGTAGTTCACATTTTATGAGACATTCTGTGTCTAATTTGTATTTGGATAGGCCCTTTTTTCCTATTAATGAAACTATCTTGTAACACTACAGAAGTGTAGCTACTCATCATAGCAGTATGACTAGCACCAGGACATGGCTGTAAATATGACGTCTTTGTTTTCTCATCTTTATCAATACAAGTTTAATAAATGAATTGTAATAAACTTCTTTCATGGACCAACAAGCCACCTTTGATCAAACATCTTTCCAAAGGAAAAAAATATTAAGAATACTAACACATAATTTACAGTAGTCTGTCCAATCCAGATGAAGCTTAAATGAATCATGCAGAACTTAGAACATATAGATAGAATTCATATTAAAGGTAACCTTTATAATTTCCTATTTTCATTTTAAGTAAAATTCCATATTCTATTTTGTTCTAATTTTAAAGATTATGACTTGGAGCTCATGGAAATCAGAAGCCAATTTCTCAAATTCTTATTTGAGATATTGTCTTATATTAATGAAACAAAGATTTACAATACAGAAATATCCAACTTATCAAAAGTATGTTCATCTGTACACTCAATACTTAGTCTGGGCTCCTTTACCATGAACTGCTGCATGATTGCAGAGCAGCGTGATGCAGCCGATCAGCCTGCAGCACTCCTGAGGAGTTATTTAAGCCATTGCTTTAACAGCCACCTTCAGCTCGTGTTTATTTTTGTGTTGGGTGTTTCTCAGCTTGACAATACCCTGCACAGCCTCTCTGTGGCAGGGCTGGGCAATTACCCACCCCCACTCTACCGGATTCAGTTCTGGCAAGTTGACTGGCCAATTAAGCACATTAATAACCCAGGCAGCAAATCTGGTAGTAGTTTTGGGACTCTGGGCAGGATCTAAGTCCTGCTGAAAAAGGAAATAAGGTTTATCAGCAGGTGGAAGTATGAAGTGTTCTATAAGCTCTTGGTAGACAGCTGCACTGACATTGCACTTTATAAAACATGGTGAACCAACCACATCACAGACCTTGGATTCTGTGCCTCTCCACTCTTCCTCCACGCTCTAGGACTTTGATTTCCAAAACTAAAAAGTAAATCTGGTTCATCTCTGATTTAGGAAAAGTCAGTGTTTGCTCTTGATGCACTGGCACCACGCTCAGCCCATTCCTTTTCACCAATGACTTTCTCTGCCTTTCTCCCTTTGTGAACAGTGTCATTGATCGCTGTCTGGACAAGTGCCAAGTCAGCAGCCTTCCCCCATAATTGCGATTGCACGTGGCATGCCCAGGAGATTAACAGTATTCATGCTGTAATAACATTAATTTAATCAAACTTGTGAAAATAATCTAATATCTGAGACACTGATTTTCACAAGCTATAAAACACTCTAAATTAACCTAAAAAAAAAAAAAAGTTTATTTCACTGTGTTTGAAATTAATGCAGAATACATACGCGTTTACCTTTTTAAAGCTATACCAAAAAAACACAACTTTTCACAATATTCAAACAGCTGCCATTGCATCATTTTCCCTCTGTCACTGGGTCACTACGACTTCTCACCGCGAGATGGCGTGGTTATACTTCTACAGTCATTGATCTTAGGAGGTGATTGGTTGTTGAAGACTCACATGATCAAATCACTGCCTCGTAAGAGGATTTTTAAATATATAGAGAACTAGTATATGAGTGTTGATTTTAAAAATTTAGCGCCATCTGTGTGTGGATTTTATCATTTGGACCTCTGTCACGCGGTCACTGCGGCTTCTGACCACGAGATGACGCTGCTGTACTTCCTAAGAGGTGATTGGCTGTTGAAGAGTCACATGTTCAAAACACTGCTTAGCAAGGGGGGACTAGCATGAGCAGCTAACATTAGTTAGCTTTTTGAGACTAATTATTAGCTCCATGACAACTACTTAAAAGTGATAAAGGTGGGAGTCATTTCTTAGGTTCTTTCTTATGTTAAGTCCTCTTTGCATTTGCTCACAACAAAGAATGTCGTGTTCTCTTTCAGAAATGCCACAGAAGGATCCGTGCCAAAAGCAAGCATGTGCAATTCAGAAGTGTTTACAAGGTGCTTTAAGCGCTCACTTTGACGCAATTATATGTTGGTGAAGTGAACCTGAACTGTTGCCTAACTCTGTCTCCCCCCTGCAGCTAATAAGTACGTGGAAAGCCTGTGCGAGAAGGAGATCGCGGAGATGCGGCGGTGCTGTCAAGTGCATGCGGGAAACTCCATTTGCTGCTCCGGGTTCAAAGACTCAAAACCCGCAGAGAGCAAAAGTAGCGAATAGTTCCATGTTGCATGTATTCATGCAAGGCATAATTCTGCATTGTATCAGTATAACATGACAGTGGAGTTTGCTGAGTTGTTGCATATTTATTTGTCTGTCTGCTACCATCCGTTTGTAAATTTAAATAGTGTTTTCTCACAGCAGACATTTTGAGATTGCAGAGAGCCTCATAATCACTCATTCCCCTGGGGCTAAATGGCACACATCTGGCAGCCTCACAAAGCTGAACAATGCAAGCTGTCTAATGTATTTAAATATTATATCGTGTGGTTCTGTCCACACCCAATGTATTTCTCATGCCTAGTATGAAATTTCAAGTATGTGTGTGGCAAGGGGTTTTATTCTAATTATAGTAATAAAGATTTTTTAAATTGAGAATTTCCCTGGAAATCGAGACTAACTTGTTATTCATATCTCAGCCTACAACGAACATCGTACAGTGGATAGCTTTTAGGGGTGTAGAGGAGAACATGGCAGAAAGACAAAATTTAATGCTAGCTGGGTAGACAAGGATGAGGCTCTAACAATTGTTTTTTCCTTCTGGTAAAGAAATAAAATGTTTGCACATTGAATGAAACAATTGGGTTATACTTTTTAAATTAGGAGCATCATTCACCACTCATGCAATGATTAGGACAAGAAAGTCATTACAATTTAAGATTTGTTGATTGATTCATGATGTCAAACATTTTCTTTATGGAAGCAGGTAAAAGTGGAGGTGTGAAATTAATAATACTCTGGTAGATTCGTGGCTTTCAGTTAATTCAACAACCTTATTGACTACATAATTGTAATTAGAACTACATAATGCTTTAGATAATGCTTTAGGTAGATTTTATTCCTAGGTGTGTTGTTTTCACCTTCCATTCTGCTGGGTCGATTCTGGCCCTCGGGCCAGAACTGGGTCAGCCACACCTCCTCAGTGACTTAAAACTTTTAGTCCCTGGTGTTATGGGCCCCAGGGGTCCAGGCCCATCCAAAAAGGTCAGTGCACCCCCTCAGCTGAATTCTACTGGCATAGTTTTGGAGGCAGGCACTGTGGCAACTCATAAAGAGAAGCAAAAAGAATAATTTTAGTAAAATTAAATCCTTCAGTTTGGTAATGAAGGAGATCTAAATCATTGATAAGCTATTACAGTAAAAACCAAGCTCATGTTACTTATTTGATTAATAGTAGCTTAGTGACTAGGAAGTAATCTCAGTAGTGTGACTCAGGAGGACACTGATTTTTGGAGCGAATGGGCCTGTGCAAGTCGAACAATGGGAAGAGCCCCCATATGACTCTTTGGAACAAAAATAATGTCATTTTTTCGACTTGTGTAGTTTGTTATAGGTGGTGTGGATATTCTTGTGGTTTAAAGTTGCTTGTTTGTTCTTGAATTTGTTGTGTACTTTTAAAGGTGGCCCAGCTGCCCCCATATTTGCAAGGGGTCATTACAGCGAGTAGCACCAGATTTCTGATTTGTCAGGCCCTTCTTGACACAACATCAGATGGGTTGAAACAGGGACCTTTTGCTTGTTGGGTGAATGTGTAAAACTCTACCCTATGGAGTGTATAGGTTATTATTATACGGGACTCCCTCTTACTGTAACATTTTAAATATACTTTAACCTTTTATTTTTAGCTATGCATCTTATTTTACCCTCTGTTTTTAAAGTGTAAGTGCAAATGTGCACACAATGTACAGGATAAATGTACCTAAATGTCTCTGAAGATGTAACTCATGCCTAATATTTTTTAGGCGTGGTCTGAATATTTGTGAATCCAGGCCTTGGATTATTTTAGCACTGACACCCTGGTTGTACCTGTTAGACCCAGACAAACTACATTGTTAAGGATTTCCTTAGTACATGAGCTCCACATTCTCTGCATGGGAGTCATTGCCATCTTGAGCAGCTGTAAACGGTTGCTCAGGCTCATTTTACACTTTGAAACCTTGCCCCCTTTTGTCAAAACTCTAAACAAGTAAATTCACACAACTTCTGGCAAATCTTACTAATTCATCAACACAGTTTTGCACGTTCTCAAAACCACGGAGTGTTGTCAGATCACACAGGGAACCATTGAGAATAATCACACCACACATGGTACATTGCACAATACGCCTAGGACGAAAAATGTAAACAGCTTTCAAAACATGTAACTCAAATCTTTCTGGCCTCGTGTGGCCATCTTGCATGTAAAAAAAAATTTGAATAAAAAATAGATCATCCCTCCTAACACACACGCACACACATACTGCCATCCACTCCTCAACTTCCCTTTTATTTACCAAGACATCATTGTGGCAACAGAGGATCTGCTGAGAAACCAGTTTTGTTTTATTCTCATCTAACATAATTATAAAAAATTAGAAACCATATAAAACTGGAGTCTCGGAAAATGTGAAACACTTTAATGAGTACATAATTGTGAGAAAAGAAAATCACCTACTTCACACTTCTGCTGTTTCTTTTTATATGGGTTATCAATTCGTGCACAAAAACATGATAATATAAATGCTTGAATATTTTTTGGGAATGACTGTTCTTCATCTTATTCTTCCTCCTGTGCCTCACATAATTTCCACCACCCTTTGAGCCATCTTAGCAGGCCAAAGTGGCTTTATATCTTATATCTAGATTTTAAGAAATGACATCTGTGCTGTAATTGTGATTAATGTCTGCTTGCTGTTCTTGACGTACGAATGCAAGTGAATCAGTGTGCAGAAATTAGTTTCTTAAGGCTTTAAGCTTTAGTCTCTTAACTTATAGCTTTAATAGAATTATACATGTAAAAATAAAGAGTGTTGATAAAGGTTTATACATTCAGACCAATCAAATATATAGCCAAAGATATATATATACGGCAATAAAATAAGAAAACAAATCAAGAAATGCAGGCTTTGGATCTTTTGATCTAGCGATGTTGAATGTTTTCAGTTCATATGTTCAACAGGTTGGATGCCAGTTAGAAAAGAACGAGGAATACTGGATTAAGTTGGATGAAGTGGTGGAGAGTGGTGACTGAAGCAGCGTTCAATGGATATGTAGGTTAAAAGTTGGTCAGAGGTTTTGGGTTAAGGAAAGAAATGTGAAAGCACTGATGGTAGTGGGTCGAGAAGAGGGTGGCATAAGAATGGAGCAAGCAAACATGTTGAAGGTGTAATCTGAAAGAGACAGGAAGCTGCTCAGTGGTTTCAGGGGAGAATGGAACTGGGCAGTATTAGATGGTAGTCTGTAAGATGAGTTTGGACATCAAAAAGAGGAAGCAATTGAAGGCCGAGATAATCACTGAATGGTGGAGGTTGAGGAAGGAAGAATGCTGTGCAGAGTTCAGGGAAGAGTTGAGGCCAGCTCATGGTAATAGTGAGGAGTCATCAGATGACTGGGAAAGTACAGCTGTAGTGGTGAGGGAAACTGACAAGAACATATTTCATACTTAATGTCGAAATGAAAAAATACGGGAAAGCATTCAAAGGAAGTTAGCAAAGACAAGGTAATATAGTAAGGGAAATAAAGAATGTAGATATGAGTACTGTTAAGCAAGGTCTACAGCAAAGGAAAAGGCTTATAGTGAGATGCATCTGAGAATGGACATTGAGAAAGGAGAAAAAGACTTCTTCTATCAGCTAGGCAGAGCCCTCAACCTTGAAAGGATGTGCAGCAGTTCAGGGTGATTAATGATAAAGACAGAAATGTACTAACAAGTAAAGGGGGCTTGGAAGGTGGAAGGAGTACTTTGAGGAGCTGATTAATGTGAAAAATGAGTGGGTGAGGGAGGATGCATGAAGGACAGGAGGACAGTTGGTGAATCAGGGATTAGGAAGGAGAAAGTGAGGGCAGGTGTGGAGAGGATAAAGAGTGAAAAGTGGCTGGTATAGATGGTTTCTCTATACCTGTTGGAGATGAGCAGTGGACTTTTTACCCAGATTGTTTACCTGCACCAATATTCAAGAGTGAAGATGGTGTGCAGAATCGCAGTGCCTACAATAGATGAAGGTGAAAATAGATGGGCATGATTAGAGGAGGAATAATGATATAGAGAACACGTAATGTTGAAGATGGACCTAGTGGGCAGGAAGGAAAGAGGAAGACTACATAGAAGTTTAATAGATGTAGTGAAGAAGGACACGCAGATGGATGATGAAGATGTTAGGGATAGGATGAGATGGAGACAGATGATTCCCTGTGGCAATCAGAAGATGTGGGGTTCCTATTTTTCATTAACTGAAGTCATTTTAAATTAAATTATTTAAGTCTCTATACTTTAAGGTATTATAACATATTAAGACTAAACAAATACATAATTATTCTTTACCTTTACACTTCATTTTTGTTCTGACAAATTTAAAAAGATGATGTTTTGAAGAGAAGTTACAGCGAGTCATTTATTTTATTTTACTTTATTTTATTTTATTTATCTAGTCGAAGTACAAGGAAAGGAACAGCACTCTTGTGTTTCCGGCGTCGTCCTCTTGACGCAATGACGTGATGACGTCAAACGGAAATCTGTAGCTCCAATTCTTTCTAGAATTCTGTAGCACTCTCTAGCCCGCTGTCTTCAGGGAGGTTCATCTGAGTTTGTCTATATCTAATACAGCAAGAAGCTCTTCTAAAGAAACAAATACGTATTTCTGCGCTGTGCGGCGATCTTGCGATCTGTCCTTGTTTCAATCAAACTTGTTAGCTTCTCATAGCTCACGAACTTAGCTGAAGCCTATTGTAAGCTAACGGTGTTAGCTTTGGGGTCTTGGTGTCAGGATGTCCAGGATAGATTACAGCGTGTGGGACCACATCGAGGTGTCGGACGATGAGGATGACATCCATCCAAACATCGACACACCCAGTCTCTTCAGATGGAGACACCAGGTATAGCAACAAGCCACGCATGGTTACAATTAAGATGCTACACATGAAGTAAAAGTGATGCATATTTGACCTGAACTGTTAGCTGACCTCGTGTGTTTACTTTGGTTCTGTGTTCACTTTTAACATGAATATAGGAATGTTTAACTTTTTGCAGCTAAATCCACATTTGGAAAAAAGAAAAAAAACAAGTAGTAAAGATTTTATATTTTGACCTCAGGCTCGTGTGGAGCGGATGGAGGAATTTCAGAAGAAAGGTGAAGAACTAAACAAGGGACTGTCCGAGTGCAGACGCAAGCTGGCAGACACACAGAAGAAAATCAAGGAGCTAACCATTTCAACATCAGAGGATGCCAAAGCAGAGTTGAGCAAAGTCCAGGCTGAGGAGAAGAAAATGAAAAAAGAGGAACGGGATTGGGAGAGAAAGGTGGGAGACTACCAACGGGAGGAGAAGAAGATGCCGTGGAATGTAGACACGCTCAGCAAGGATGGGTTCAGCAAGGTGAGGTAGAGTAAGTGGAGCTTAAAAAGCACTACAGGTTTTACATCGCACATCATTTATTACACTCTTTTTTTTCTAAAGTATTTTCAGGAAAACAAATGCTAACAAAACTGTTGTCTTTTCTCCATATTTCATCTTTTAACTTCTGCAATTGTTTGTTTGAGCTTGACAACCAAGGGAAAAATTGGCCGAAAACATGATCACCACATGTCCCCCACAACAGAGCC